TGTTAAGAACTTTATCCTGAGCAATTAAAATCAAGTTATGTTTCAGGATTGGTTATTATTTCAAATTCTAGGATCTCCATTAACTTGAGCATTTTCAATTTGTTCGACTAAAACTATCCGATCTTTGTTTAAAAATAATGTTTCAGGACATTCTGAATTTATAAATCCAGAATGAAATTTTTTTTTAAATTTAAAATACTTCTTCTGTAATTTCTTTTTGATGTTAAATATCGTTTCTTTGATATTCTTATAACTTAGAATTAGTTTAGATTCGAATGATTATACGGAAGAGAAGATCAAATTTTTCATGAAGAAGGTTGATAGCATTAAATAATTATTTAAAAGAATAATTTTAAATAACTGCATTTTAAAAAAGTTAATTTTCTTTCAAATGTTAAATATGTTGCTAGAACCATATGCCAAAGAATTATGTCCGTATATCTTACTTCAAACAACCTTCGATCGTTGTTCGTTTCAACCTTATTTCAAACATTCTTTCATGATATCTGTTATTATCTTTCTTCAAAGGGATTTAAGGAAAACGATTCCTGCTATTTCTTTAAACAGAGTATCTATCTGCTTTTATAAATCTAATTTACGTAATAAAAAGGGCCTCAAATTTACGGAATAAAACATTATTTGAAAAAATTGCGACAAATTTTGATTTTACCACTTCGAGTATGAGAAAGACATGGACAAACTAATACTGCCATAAAAGATTTTTATTATTATTTATAAATGAAAATTTTTATTAATAAAACACCGCTATCGCTCATAAGAAAAATGAAAAATTCCTAGTTTGTTTTTTGTAGATGATTTAAAAATCAACTTTGTAAACCACTTTGTAAGGAAAAAAATTATCCTTTGCACAATAATAAGTTTTTCAATTCTGATGGCTTATTAATTATCTCAAGTCGTGGACGTAAAAGCTTTTATTGATTATTATTTGTTTTAATTAAATATTATGGGGATTAGGGATTATTCAGTTATGGCAAAGCACACGAGGGCTATCTGCCTAAAGGGAGGGATGCCTTCGTGGAGGACTTTCTAAGCTCGTATACACGTTACATGGGGAAAACCACGAAAACGCCCATGCAGCCAGCCCGTTTACGGGATTCGAACCTCGGACCGAACTACCAGTGTTCAGCGTTTTTACCGCTCAGCCGCTGGTGGGGCCTAAATATTATGGGGCAAATCTTAGTCTTTACATTGTAAAGACATTAGGTATTTTTTGGAAGCAGGCAAGATGAAAAACTAGCAACTGCCTTCGCCGGGAATCGAACCACGGACCTCTGAAATACCGGCTCAGTGTGCTGACCACTACACCACGAAAGCATGCTAGGAAAGCGGGAAAAATACCTTATAAACATATTACTCTCGGTCTACCTGTGGCCAAGCGATAAAACTGCTATACACTGATAGTTCGAGCTGGGATCAAATCGGTGAACAAGTAGCCTGTGTGGGTGTTTTCATGGTTTTTTTTCAATGTGTAACGTAAATACGTGCGGGTTTCTCCTTAAAATGTCTTCCACGAAAGCATTCCGCCCCTTAGGCATTATCTCAGTAATCTCTCTCAAACTTTAATTGCCATTAGATTATTACATAAAGATAGCACACCATTTGTTGTTCACGCGAACTAATAAATGTGATTTTTATGGCATAAAGTCTTTTAATTTTTCTCCCACATCTGGCGAATAGCCAATTTCCCAAATGCTGCCATTCGATGGGACATTAAAATACTTCAGCTTATACTTGCTTAATAAAATGAGTGTTCACTTAAGTAATTAAAATGTAAATTTTACTTTTTAGTATTATATTAAATTTATGCAATTTAAAATACATTTATTATACATCAATTGAAAATAGATATTTAGAGCATTATTATAATTAACAAAAAGTGCTTCTAACATCACATTCTAACACCGGAAGTCTGAATGTTTTTTTAAATAACTACCATTATTATCGATGCAATTCTTAAAAGCTGGTTCCGAAACTCGCAATGTAAGTGATCCTGTCAAATGGAGCCCAAGGAATCGATCTGATTCAGGCTTCGGTGTATTCTTTTATTCTGCACCATCTACTGATTGACTCATCCTAAAAAATTATGGCTTCTGATGCTTGAAGCAAGTTACAACATCAATACAGTCAATCCAGGAATCAACTCGATAACCCGACAAAATCATTTTTTGTGAGCATTCCAAACAATAGGCACATCTTTTGAAGAAATGCATAGATAATGGCCAAGATTATGTTAAAAAATGTCGAATAATTAACATGAGGAGTATTAACTGAGCGTTTGTATTTCCACACGTGTTGCCACACCACGAGAGATCTAAATCTACAGGAGATGATTTGCACCGTTTTACTCTATAACTTTTTATTGCTGGACTGATTTTGACCCACAGGAGGCTGGGATAACATCTTGAGAGGGATCAACCATCACCCTGAAGTACGTCTACGGTTCCCTCAGCGGAAACTAGAAGGGGGTAAAAAGCTGAAAGAGGGGGGGACAATCCGGAGCAACAGAGCAGAGCAAAAAGCAGACATTGCATGACTGTGAAAACCGTGGGAAACGTTTGGTTCTCCGTCGCTAGCTCCGTGTTCCCCCTCCCAGTACCTTTCATCCCCTAATTCAATTCTTTTGGGTCTTTGGTATTGAGGGGTCTCAAAACTTTCTGTAGAATATTTTTTACTGCGAAGTGCCTTTTGTGAGAATGTATTTTAAGAGGGTAAAGGTAGTTAGTTACGTACAAAAAAATGTGCGCAAGTTTTGAAAGATACATCCTGAAACAGATGTTATATATTACCGTCGCTTTATATTTCAGCCGAACTTAGTTTAATTGAAACTTAATTAATTAAGATATTAACCATAGTTCACATAAATGGATAAAAAAATTCTTTTTATAATTTCCTGCATTTTTTTACTTAATAAAGGGTATTTTTATCTTTGTTTGTTGAAAAAAAAATCAGCAAACTAATTAATTAATGCTTATTTATTTTACATTCTTTAATTTATTTCAAAATAAAGCGATGGCTTTTGTTTTATTCCCAAAAACACTTTTTAAAAATACTTACATAATACTTATAAAATAATATTTATAAATACTTTTCAAATATACATAGTAATAATTAAATTATTACAGATCAAATCACTAAATCATGTACTATTAAAACGAAAATCTTTTAAATTAAGGAAATAATTAATTAATTTTTAATGATAAACACTAATTAATATTTAATCCAAACAGAGAATAAAATAATTTATATTCATCAAAAGAGTTTTTACAAATAAATAATATTCTTTGCACTAATAAATAAAGCAAAATTTTACGATAACTAACATAATAAAATATACTTTACCATAAAATTTTACATGAATGTTTTGCTTAATGTTTACTTCAATTTTTATAACCTTTTTTTTAATTTTTATTATTTTATAAAACTTTTGCGTTTAAAAGCAAATGTCAAAAATGGAGCTCTAAAACAGTGATATCTTAACACTTTAAAAATTTTATTGTTTATATTCCTTACATACGCTGCGAAAATAATGAAATTTATTTCTCAATTTCTCCGTAATAAACACTTCTATTATTCAAAAAGTTTTTCTTTTTCTAACCAAAACTTAACTGTAACCGTAGTGCTTTAAAAAAGAATTAAGCATGTCATTTATTAGACTGGGAAAAAAAAAAAAAAGATGTCCTCTGTGTTACTTTCATATATCCGTCAATGTAGTCTGCTAGAGTAGCATAGGTCGTTAATGGCATCACGTGATCAAATTAATTGATACAAATTATCCTGGCCTCGCTATCAGCGGTGCAAAACGTTTCACTTATTAAGGTCGTTCAGCAAATGACTGTAGTGTATTTTACCGACCAGATTAATTAAGTTTTGACAGCCTATCGTCACAAGCAAATGAGGCTATTAGTTATTTTATGTATTAAAAATGACTAGTTATTAGTTAATACTATTCCTATTGTTAATGAAAGTTAAAATTATAAACACGATATTTTCATGTTATTTCGTATACACATTAAAGTATCAATTTGCAAGCATTTACTCTGAAACATATTTTAAAGTTAACTTTCAAGTGCTTTTTAACTTTTACATGCTAAATTTTTTGTTGTAAGTTACAAACGTATGAAAATTACGTATAACATTAAAAACTTAATTTAAATATCTTCAAAATAGAATTTTGGTGTGATCTTAAAATTGAACACATTATTCTTTATTTGATAATGTACTTAGTTTTTCCAGTAACTTTTAAAACAAGAAACTGATTTTAAATAGATATTTCTGTATAGATAATTAAGAAGCTTTTTTTTAAATTATTCTATGTAGAAAGCATGCACACTCTAGAAAAGCACAGCAAATTAATATGCATGGTACACAGGAAGAGGGACTCAAAACTATCAAATATTTTGCTAGAGTTCGCTGAGATTAGAGAAATCTGATCAGATCTGGGATCAGAGAAAAGTTTAGCTCTAATGTAAATAGCAGTTATCATTAACTTAGGTATTCAAACCACATTTCAATTTGCTCAGATAACAATTTTGGAACAGAAAAAGATGTCATATTAACATTGAGAGAAATGTTAATTTTGCTGTCAACATTTGGGACTGCCCCAGCATTCATATAATTGCAGTAAAAGACGTATAAAAACAATACCACATTTAAACATAATTATATATTAGTCTTTCAGTTATAAATAACCTTAAAAGCATAATTCAAAACTATTTAAAATTTGCATCCTTTCTCTCTGTCTCTTTAAATTATATTTTAGAATAATGAATTTAAAACTAATCTGCATTCGGTATCTTCTTTACATTGTTTTTTGTTGTACAAGTCCAGCAACCTTCCCCCCTGAGAAAACAACTTACTGCTCCCCCCCCCAAAAAAGTACAACTTTATATCACAAGTAAGAGGTTTAGATTACAAGTAATATGGATTATTTACAGATTTCGTAACAACATTTCAATGATAATAATGTAAAAATTTCTTACCTGTTACGTAAACCGGGGAAAAAGTGACAAACACAACCGTGGCCAAAAACACACCAAAAGTACCCCGATACCCCATCGCGTCCAAAAATAGGCGTAAAAACACCGGTTAGATTCAAGTCCTCTGCAAGTAGAACATTAGGGAATTTGTTTTTTATGATAATCCAATAATCCAGATGATTTAGAAGTAATCCAAAGGCCTTGCACAACACTTCAGTTTATTGTTTATAGACTGTCATACAAAAATCACTTTTATTTGGCGCTGGATTCAAACACATGCGCATTTCACGAAACGTCCCGTTGCTATGATGCTGAATGACCTGTTGTTAGGTCTATGCGGCGTCTCTCTTGGGAGGGTTGCCGTTCATTTTCTACGGGCGGAGATTTTCCTCGCCAGTAAACTTACAGTAACGGCGCTTGGCGAAATACAAATCTGTCGATCCAAACTAGGAAATTGATTTGCAGCTTTATTAACATATCGTTTATTATCACGAGAATTTTTCGATAATAGATAAAGTTTCAATCGTATAATAAATTGTTCTTAAAAAAATAGAATGTCTTCGATAAGTTCTTTAATTATAATATAAAACTCAGACAAAGGCTTTTATTCACTTTTGTTTAATTAACTCCTGTTTTCAAGCATTCTTATTTAAAAAAAAGGTAAAATTGAGAGACAAATTAAAATATAATCTGCGTAACATAGGCTTCCGTGATAAATCTAACTAAAATGGGGGAGGGGGAGTTGTAACAATTATTTATAAGAGGGGGGGGAGAAAAGGATATTTTTAAAAAATTTCATTTGTTTCTTGTTACAGGAGATGTACTATACAGTAATAAAAATTTACCAAGCAAAATTATCCATAAAATATACAGTATATTATTTAATCTGTTAATAAGTTTAAAAAGTACTTCAGCATTAAATTTTTACTGCATAGTAAATTACAAATCTTTTTATCTACTAATTACAGTGTAATTTAATAATGATAAACAGCTTAGTTATATATTATGATTGACAGGCAACTATGAACCTGCTGTCCTTCCCTTCTTTGTGAATCATATAATACTCAACTGAATATAGTTATTACATTTAACTGATTTAGTTCGTAAATCATTCTATTTTTTAAAATGTTTCCCTTGCTTCATATTATGTAAATTGTATGTAAATGCTTTTAATATTACGTAAATATATTTTTAAATATTCAAGATATCTAATAATATAATATTTACATTTACATTATTTATGCAAATATTATATTACTAGACATCTTGAAATACACTATAATTAAACATTTATATAAAAGCGGCAATAGATAAAATAAAAATAGTCTTCATAGTTTTTTCTTTTCCTCAAAATAATACAGAAACTCAAAGAAAACCTACAGATATGCCAGTGGCAAGCGAAATAGGGATAAAATAACATTTATAGCAACCCACACAATCGATGTTGGGAAACAACCTTCCGCGAAGCAAAGTAGTTTCGAAGTAAATTGCAGTTTTTCAATATTTGAGTGGGAAAGAAAATATAAAGCCATTTGAAAAGCCTTATTACTGAGAATAAAAAAGATTCTTTTACATAACTTTTGCTATATTTGCTGTAAATTCTCTTTACAGAAAGTTTTGTTAAAATAAGTTGTACTATTCCGCAGTCGGGAAATTTTCGGCCAATCACCACGAGCCTACATGAGCTCGAATTTCGAAGTCTGCGTCTGTTTTGGTAATGATAATAATTTGAGAATAGTTTTCTTAAAAATCCAGGTTAAATATGATAAAAGTTTATTAATAATAAAATTAAATTTGGCATGAATATGTTTTATTAATCTGGGCTAAATAATTTCATCGCGAAAAATCATAGTTACAAGAAACTTTCGCTTAAATGGTAACAAATTTAGAATTTCGATTATTGTTGAAAGATAACAATTTTAGTGTATATTTGTGTATTCTTTAATTAACGTCATTCTTCTTTATAGTAATCATTCTCGCTTTTCTGTTATCTGTTGTTGGAAGTAGTAGGTTGTTGTTTTTATTACCTTTTATGAAAACAGTAGTTTTAATGGGTTACTAAAAGTCAAAATTCTAAAAAGAGCGGTTTTCTCCCCAGCATCAACATTTTTACTTCCTTGTAAGAAGTAAAAAGGAAGTATTGCAATCGCGAAAAATTTCAGCTATCATATTTCAACGAAAATATCCATTTTGACCGCTATCGAATGCAATTTAATGATGTTTTCGAGTGATATCTGTACGTAAGGACAGAATAAAGAACTCGTTTCCTCCCAAAAAATTATAAAACTGATTTAAAATGGATTCTGACGAGAATTTTTCGTGGCGTCTGTGAGAGAATTTTTCGTGGCGTACATACGTACGTATCTCGCGTAACTCAAAAACGAGTAGCGTCAGAACTTTGAAATTTTGTATATAGTACTGTCATAACATGTAGATGTGCACCTCTCATTTTGGTTGCAATCGGCCACACCAAAGGTACATTAATATGTGTAGACATATATCAACTCTGCTACTCGCCTCAGTGAGTTCAGTTTCTTTATTCTTATATGTTTGTAAATTGTGTATGTTTTGCTTTAAGACTGATTGAATTATGTTGTTCTTATCTTCCGGTCAAGGTTTTTATGCCTTTAGTAAATCTGCATGCAGTATTTGTAGAATTATCAACAAATTAAAAATTGTTTAAGTGTGGCTAAGCCTAGTTATTTTTGCCATGGCAGCTATATTTGTTTACATTTGAAACTTAGCAGAATAGTGGATTTGTTGCCAATCTAGAGAAACTAAGCTTCCCAACAATAAAGATAACGCCTTCTTTTATTATTGCGAATTAAATCATTGCTTTGTCGCGAAGTGAGAATTGAATTAATTGAATGAGAAATAGTGAATCGTCTGTAAAAAAACTGTTTCTCCTTTTTTTTTGTTTTTAGTCTTTTTGTTTGTTTTGTTCGTTTGCTTAATTCCTTTATACATCGTTTTAGATTTATTATAGTATTTGAATAGAACATGTGGCAACAATTACATAATTCTTCAAATTATATAAATTGTGTGCATTCTGAGTTATAAAATAAATGAAATGTAACGCTGTTAAAGGAACCTAGCGCCAGAGTGTCTTTATGGTAAACAAATATAGTGAATTTTTAAGAGTGCATTTATTCTATTTTGGTTTTATGCGCTATCGACGAAGTATATTTAATTCAATCCAATAAGTTTAAATGAAATGCAAGAGAAATGCGTATAATTTAATATTTCGTACAATGAAGTCATGTGGTGTACACATTAGATTTTTTTTTTCCAGCATTACTGACAAACTTCCCGAAAGACAAAAGTTCGCTTGTTATGTAATACAAAATGCTTTATAATTTATTGCAGTGTCTGAGGTTTTGCCGTTTTGGCAATGAAGAACTTTCAGGTAATTTTTTGAAATAAAACACAAATTGTAATCGCCATAATTTCTAAACCTTAAGGGAACATGTGACATATCGACTGGCGAAATGCAACTATTTCGGGGCAAAGGTTATTTCGGTATAACTTTTCTCAAAATAAACGTATACTCTAAATTCTTTTTTTTCATTTAAAATAGACAGCTTGTAGATTATATAAAATACATAAAATGTAAATTTAAAGCTTAATGCTTTTAAACAACTTTCGAAACCAGTTGTTTAAAAGTTGTACAAATTAAACAACTTTTTAAAAACCAGTTGTTTAATTTCTCGTACCTTTGACGAATCTTTTGTGACAATGTGCTAATTTGGTACACTTTTCTTAAAAAATACCTCAAACACCTTCAAATTTTGCATGATGGTTCAAAACATATCATTTAAGAATAATAACAGTATTTTACATTTTACTAAAACAGAAAAATTATTAAAAATAATTTGGTAAAATGTTTTGAAAATCATAGAAAAAAATGGTATTAAATTTTTAATATATCCCAAACTAATGATCATAAATTTTATATCCTGCTTTGTTTCAAAGAAATAGTTAAGCTAAACAACTGTGGAAAATTTATAGCCTAAACTAGGCTGGCACATAGTTTTCAAGGAAAGTGTACTGAAAGTTAAAAAAACACGTTTTGAGAAAAACTGAAAAAACAATTTAAACACTAATAATTTATAAAAAAAAATCATTTTAACATTTTCCTGCACCATATTCATCTTGAAATGACATTTCTGCATCTAGTTATTTTTGTTTTATTAACTAATGTTTCTTTCTAGCCATTTTAGAAAGCTTTTGTTAAGCGAAATGGGCCTCACATATTCTATCGCAATCTATTTTCCCAAAAACTTTACTGCATAAAACCCTGATTGTATTCTTCCCAATAATTCTATTATTTATTGTGACTTTCTACACTATTATTAAAACATATTAACCGCATCTAATAAACCTAATTTTAATGTGATGACACTCACAAAAACAGTTTTTGGTATGCGTGTCCAGATGCAATTATTAAAACTTTCATTTGGGTTTTGAGTTGTTGTTGTTCACTTGTCTGACGTATAGCAGTGCGAGGAGCAGCTTGAGCATCTTACAGGTGACAGTACGATTTAGCACAGTTCCGCCCCCAATTTTGATGGAGAGTTCCCCAAGGGGGACGGGCCTGAAGGTCTTAGACTCTTCTTTACCTACCACTACCTCTCAAGAGGGCTTTCGGCTCGCCACATATTTCGGGTACTTCTATGCCGCACGGACACTATACATTTACAAACATCAATGTCTAAGATATATAAGAATATTCTAAGATTTGTATTTACCTTTAGCAAAGAATAGATAAATAAATAAACAAAACTCGTTTCAAAATGATAGCAAAAACTTGCAATCTAAAGAGTTTAATCACAGTCTGATTGATTCTGCTTAGAATCGACAGCCGCTCTGCCGGCAAAAAGCTTAAAAAATTGGTTTCGGTTTTATTGCCACTGTCGATCCTTTATCCCAGTGCAGACAGGCTAAAATATAATGATTTAATCAAATTTTGAACATTTTGGCAGTACATTGTTCTTAATTATGAGCCTTGTCTAAATTATGGCAATGGGGATTGTATGCCAATGATTGTCGATCGTAAGCTGGCAATGCCGATTCTATAAACTCTCGATCGTATGCTTTTGAGGACTCGGCGCAATTGTGTATTAAAACCTCCTTAATCATTAATTACATCACTAACAGAATTTCATTTTTATTGCATTAGTCATATGCTAGTGTTAGTCTTCTACCAGAGTCCATTTTACACCGTGTCGATCCTATGAATATGAGCCGGTCGCGAGGTTAAAAAGTATAAGAATTATTTTTG